TGCTCGGAATCACAAGAAGCTTAGGAGAAAGAAGACCTATCAGGGCACATGAAGAATGAAATGCTGCGCAGCGCTAACATTTCAGAAAACCGGTACCGAAAAATCGAATGTACTGCAAATGATCTACGGCAATGACACATCGACGGAGTACGCGAATTTCGGGGAAACTGGATTAGCTTTTTTTCTGTTGTTTGATGAAATTCATGATGCCGTTCGTGCTCGAATCATGCGAACTACACGGGCTATCGCTTTCCAGCTCCTTCTGGATAACTTTTGCCAACTGCTTACCCAATTCCACACTGAAACAAGCAGACACTGTGTTAGTTAAATTTGAATGAAACTCGAAAAACTTTCACAGTGAGCTGAAGATATAGGTGAATTTAGGATGGACTCCCGGGAGACGGGGAGACGGGGGGTGTGAAAGACAGTTTTCTTTACTTTTAGCTTTAGACCTAGACTTTTGTAGCACTGGTGTCCGTGCCGTTGGGGAGGGAGGGAGGGTGAGGTAAATACCCATCGCCCTTTTCCCCTCCCCCCTCTCTCTCTGCATCCGCTTATGGTTGAAGGTAGTTGTCCAGAGCTCCGACAACGCTTAGCAAAGACTCTCTTCGTCGCTGAGCTTGAAAAAACCGATCAATAAACTTTTGTAGAAGAACTAATTCTTTCCGTGACGGGCATGCAATCTGGTTCTGAAGAAACCCATCGATACGTGACAGTAGAGAGAGAACTATTCCACTAAGGCAGTGCCATTTAAAGTGGTTGCAATCCAAAATGAAACACAAAGGGAGGCAAATTGTATTTGCTGATTTGGTTGATAATCAGTTTTGTTTCAAGAGTATGTATTCTAATTTATGACTGCATTGGTGAGCTGTTGTTTCACTACGTTTCAGCCACTCCCGTTCATCTATGGACACTGCTTTTGCACCGATTAACATGATATTTTACAGTAAATTTATGTGTCAGTAAAATACCAGAAGCAAATATGAGATTATGTGCAGCGAAAACACGTTAGGAAGCAGCCTGTGTTTCATTTCTTGGTTCGAGCACAACGTGCGGTAGGAATGAGAATCATCAGTACAGTCTCCTAGCTGCCATGTTTTGATGAACAAATATCCAATCGTTCGACAAAGGCAAAGAGAAATAATTGGCCGACGCACGGGTTGTCCGTGCGAAGATGCGTTTTCTGCATGGGTTCCCCGTAGTTTTTGTTGCTAGCGGCACCGGTTTTTCGGCAAATGCTTCTAGCTAAACAAATTAAGACTGGCCGCCAGAACTGGCAGGAAACGCCTCCCTAAAATTTCAGATTTCTAGTTCTCCTGGCTCCTGAGTTAGCAACTTACTCTCAAATAAAAACTTTCACGAGCCCGCACGCGCGTACCACGCATGCCCGATGGTTTGAGCTCGTTGAGACTTACTTGGACCGGGAGCATCTTAAAACTACAGTCTATTAATTTACCAGGTCCTCGAGTTATGTACTTACCCGAGAAAAACTTTGGTGAACCCGTGCGTAGGTACCACGCATGACCGAGGGCTGGGTTTGAGCTCGTTAAGACTAATGTGGATAGGGGATATCCTTCTAATATTACAGTCTTCTAGCTTTTCAGGTCCTCGAGTTATCAACTTGCCCGAAAAAAACTTTAGTGGACCCGTAGGCGGGTACCACGCTTACTCGATGGCTGGGTTTGAGCTCATTAATACCTACTTGGACGGGGAACATCCCCTTAAAATTTTAGCTTTCTAGCTTTTCTGGTTCGCGAGTTATCAACTTACCCAAGAAAAATTTTGGCGGCTCGCATGCGAGTACCACGCGGGTAAGATCGCCCATTTTGGGAATGGGGGCCCGTACGTGCATGTAGGTTAAGTCCCCAAAGTTTCAGTCTTGTAGCTTTTGTCGGTTTCGAGATGAAAAATCGGTACAGAGGCCCTGCGCACACACAGACAACCTCTCGCCAATATGCGTTTTCCGCATTGCATAGCTGCAAAAAACGCAAAAAAAAAGGAAGAAAACACGGAGAGAGAGAAGGGGAGAGAGGACGGTTTATTCTTAAAAGGAACAGAATGCGAAATAAGGTATCCATGCCCTGCGATTTAGTGCGGGCAGTTAATCGCAAAGTGAGTTAGTAAAAACTTTAACTGATGTAGTTTCATGTCAAGCAATTTCCCGTTGCAACTTGACCGCTGAATGAAAACAGCTTAGCAAATAGAAATACTAACCCCCACTGGTCGTAGCTGTTAATGTTCCAAATAACGCCTTGCACGAAAATTTTATGCTCATAGAGGGCAATCAGAGCACCAAGTGTGAACGGTGTCACTTTCGGCAGGATGATCGAATTCGTTGGTCGATTGCCTTCAAACACCTGCAAAAAGAGCTTTTATGCTGCAAAAAGCAAACAGATGATAAAGAAAATCATACAGCAAAAAATAAAGAAAATAAAGCATTATTCTTTATTTTATAAAATAAATAAAGAAAACATAAAGAACAAAGAATAGAGCCAAAAATAAAGAAAACCAAAAAGCAAAAAGCATTAACAAATTATCCAAAACCTTAATGCAGCTTGATTTTCACCAAATCCATTGCACACACAAAAAAGTTACTAACGACATAGCAAGTCACAGAGCGATGGGTAGGAGACAACAAACTGAAGCACATTTCCAGTGAAGTAAAGCGATACTCGTTCAGTAAGAGCGATGTAAACGAGTTGATGTGTACTAAGGAGAACGGCGGCCACTTATGCGACAAGAAACAAATGATGAACTTTGGAGATTATTGGATAGTTGGATAGCACCCAAATAAAGCTAGAACAGAGCTGTTAATGTAGTGGAAGAATCCACTTAAACAACATTTGGACTTTTGTGGATAAGGGAGATCCAAAACGGGAAAAAATACTTTGATTGCCAGCTGATCAGTTATCTAAAGTAACAATGTATATTTATGCACAATCAGACCTGTGATGTCATAACCAGCAAGTATGGTTTTAGGTGCCGCCACCACGTTTAATATTTGAACTGATCCAGCCTAACAGCACTATCTGAAGCAACTACAGGCACTGACCAAGAAGCTGTAAGTAAGCATTAAACAAGAACAAGTTACGGTTTTTTCTTTGCACCGAACACATTTTGTAAGTGAAGGAAAAAATAAAAAAAAACCTTGTGAGGCAGAATCTTCGCTACTTTTTCATCGCTCATTCCGGATGCTTTCAGTTCCTTCTCCGCTTCTTCGGCTGTTTTACCTTTCATCAATGCTTCGGTTTGCGCAACGAAATTCGACAACAAAATCTAAATAAACAAAGTTGATAAAATGTATAAATCGAATGGAAAAAAAAGGAGTTAACAAGTGAAAAAAAATCTACCTAAATTGAGGGAACTTTTAAGAACGAATGAATGATCTAACTTGTGGCTTTAGACTGATCAAAACACTAAATGAAAATAATGGAACTATTATCAACGAGGGCTGTCTGATTCTCTTAATTACCATTCCATGGCTGAATTGCTAGCTACATAATCGACCCAAGCAAAGAGGGCACAATTCTTTCATACCGTAAAAATAACCTTTAATCTGCTCATTAAGTGATAAAATCAAGAGAGAAAAAAAACAGAATACATGAGGTGATGCTCACATCGTGGTGCAGGCCGCCTCTTATCGGATTCAGTGTTTTCGCTGGTGCAATGAAATCACAAGGAATAAGTCGAGTACCTAAACTAGAAAATGTTAGCTGAAAATACTCATACAACACGCAGTTTGTCAAGCTAAATACATTTACTGTTCGTTGAATAAGTGAACAAACTCTATTTAAAATTCTTGTTTTATCAAAATAGTTAAAATTCTTAAAATCTGTGCGTTCTGCTATGCATTTTCGCTTATGCTGTATTTTTTTTCTTTCGAACAATGATTTGCGGCAAAAAACGCAATACTAAAATTACTGCAACGAGTAGTGCAATCTCTGAAGCATGTAAAATAAAACACAGCTATTTCGAATATCGCAGAAGCACTGCATAAATTTACAAAATAAAGAAATGTCAGAGCAGGCCTTTAAGGGGAAGAAACAGGCCTTATGTAGGATCCCAGAGAAAATGAAATTACAACATGTTTCCCTTCATTTAGAAGTTTTTAACTTTCATTTTCAATTTTTGGCTAATCATAAATGTAAAAAACTGCACACATATAAGCTTTGTTTGCAAAATTTTTGCTCGAGACACTCATAACGATAAAGGCGGACATAATGCAGCGGCAAGTAACACCGCTCTTATGCTGAAGGTTAAAAGTTCGGCTTCGCCAGTGGAGTAACCAACCCTTTACGTTTCGTTCATTAGTCCCAGTGTTAAATTTGCACTAGCATGTGCCAGAGGGTAAAACCATCCATCAGCTTGCTTCTAAGCAACTCTCAGCAAACCTGTCAGCCGACAGTTGCTGTTGACATGTGCCTAACTGGAGCTACTTCCAAATGCCTGCGCTCCCATGAAGTGTTACTGTGGAGGGGACTTCTACTACTGGCAAACGGTAAGTGTAAGTTACACAGTGAAAGAAGAAGAGGTAAAAAACAAACCTTGATGTATGAGCTGATAAAACGCGTGCTGGCCATTGGTGCCAGGCTCGCCCCACACAATCGGTCCAGTTGGAAAATCAACTCGACTTCCGTCCCTGCATCGAACAGATGTGTTACTCGGGAACAATCCTACTAAAAGAGAAATTCATCAAAAAGAGCGTAACTGACCTCATCACAAACTTTCCATTGCTTTCCATATCGCCTTGTTGGAAATAAGCCGCGAATCGATGGAGATACTGATCGTAAGGCAGAAGAGCGTGGGTCTCAGCTTT